TTAAATGGGTCTGACAATCAAGTAAGGTTTCTAGCCCAAACTGTTTCTCAAAGCTCAAACTATTTTGTCGATTTGGGGTTTTCAACGTTTTTTATATAGAGGTAGGTATATTAGATCAGAAACCTTACAATCAAGCCATCAGACGAATTTTGTGCTTTAATTACAAAAGTATACTTTAATAATAATTTTTGTCAATTTTTGGCTAGCATCATAACTATGCATGCTCTATATATAAACTTGTTTTTTAAAAAAATAATAATAAATTTTTTTTGTTTATTTTTTAGATGCATTATTTATTTGATAATTTTGGTTAGTATTTAATTTTAAAATCAATTTGGTTATTGTTACCAATCACTTGCTAACTCGAAAGAGTATACAATATATCTGATTTATTAAACAATTAGAAATGTCAAAATTTTTGCGCACCTTTTAATTTTTTAATATAAAGGAATTTGGCGAAAACTTACTTTGTACAAAGATGAGTTTTAAATCAACAATTAATTATTGTTACCAATCGCTAACTCGAAAGAGCATGGTTTGCTCGACAATTTTTTCATTATAAATATAACTATAATTCGCAAAGACATCAGAATAAAGTTTTCTTAATTTGATAATAACTATCATAATAACTTTATCATAATCATATCACATATATTTACTACCTTTTTTAAAAATGAATAATACTGTTTATGAAATTGTTTCTTCTAATCGTGGTCAAGACAAAATTAATATTCATGGTTTTATTATGTGCAAAAATAAAAATCGTGACAATTCTTATTACTGGCGTTGTGAAAAACGTGATGCATTACAATGTAAATGCCGAGCAGTTACCACATTGGTTGAAGGACAACATCATCTCCAAAAAGTTACAGATCATAATCATGCTGCGGAGGCAAGCCGAGTCAATGTTATAAGAACCGTTAATACTTTAAAAGAGAAAGGAAAAGAGACTAATGAACCACCTGCACAAATTATTCAAACCACAACTGCTAGTATCTCTCACGAAGCGCATCCATACCTTCCATCTCGTGATGCACTTCGTCAAACAATTAATCGAATTAGGAGCTCTGATCTTCCTGTAGAACCAGAATCTTTAAATGAACTTATTGTTCCTGAAGATTTGACAATGACTCTAAGTGGATCAGACTTTTTGGTTAAAGATATTGTCCTGGATCAAGATAGAATATTGCTCTTTACAACCATTGCTAATGTACAATATCTGGAACAATCCCCTTTCTGGATTATGGATGGAACATTTAAAACAGTTCCAAATATATTTAGACAGTTATATTCAATTCATGGACGTGTTGGTAGAGATGAAAATTCACAAATAATGCCACTTGTCTATGCATTAATGTCCAGAAAATCGGAAGAATGTTATAGGAATTTGTTTCAGGGATTGGTTGATTTTGGTGATGAAAATGGTGTTCTTCTCCGGCCACAATTTATTTTAACTGATTTCGAACAAGCAGCCATCAATGCTGCTCGTAGAAAATTTCAAGGTGTCCAAAACAAGGGATGTTTATTTCATTTGGCTCAGAGCATTTACCGGAAAGTACAAGCTTCTGGACTTAGTGTTCAATATGGGACTGACGTTTAAAAATTAGACACATTCCTGCACTTGCTTTCTTGCCTCCTGACGACATTCCTGCAGCATTTGATTAATTAAAGGATGATATTCCTCCAGAGGCTAACGAAATCGTAGAATGGTTCGAAGAGTACTATGTGCATGGTAGAACAAGACGCACATTAAGACATGAGAATGCAATTCGAGCACCACCATTATTTCCACCTGACTTCTGTTCAGTCGTTGATAATATCGATTATGCATTTCCACGAACTCAAAATTTTGTAGAGGCTTGGCATCGAAGATGGGTGCCTTAGTAGGTACTGCACATTTAGGTGTTTACAAAATCATAAAGGAATTGCAAAAAGAACAAAATCGAGTTGAGCTTGATGTAGAATCGATTTTACGAGGAATACCACGATCTTTACAAAAAAACGGGACCGTGAACGTGAAGCACGAATTCGGACAGTATTCAATGACCGTGATAATAGACCACTTATGGACTTTCTTCGGGGAATGACTCATAGCATTTCATTTTAGTATTGCTATTCTATTAAATACATTAATTGTAAATTTTTTTTTAAAAAATAAAAGACATTATTATTAATTATTATTTGTGTTACGTTTCTTCATATTTATTAATTATTAATTATTTCATAATGTGATATTTAACGTAAGAAAACGACTAAATTAAACTTTGGGTAATGTTGAACCAACAACGAGATGATGGAAAATTTACTATATAGAACATTCAAAAAAATCATTTTGAGTTGTTTTATTAAATAAATTTGTCTCTTAAATTGGTCACGTTTACTTCATTGACAATCATTTCGTTTATTGTTATGTTATATCGAGATAGTTTCGAAGTTATATCAAGAGATATGGTCAAGAGAAGAGAGTTGTCCTTCGAGCAAGTCGAAAACCAACATCTTCAAGTAGCACAATTTAATTTATTGGACTAATTTCTTCGACATTTGGTTTATTGTTAAAAGGTAGTTTCGAAGGTATAGTGCAAGTCAATAAAAATTTTACTGCCATATGATTTTTGAAGATCGTCAAGTGCTAAAATTTTTCTTTTACATTTATTCCTATATACATATGTAAATGATGATTAGAACAATAAACAACAACAATAATGATTATAGTGATGTTATTAAATATAAGTTAAAATAAAAGAGAAATTTAAAACTTGCTCCTACATAAACTATTGAATAATTATAAACGTTTGTTAGAATATTGTGCAAACTTCATAGATCTTGTCCTTAAAACTTACTTCGATTACTCCTACATAAAACTATTGAATAATTAATAAAACGTTCGTTAGAATACTTTGCAATCTTCTCCTTAAAACTTACTTCGATTATTCCTACATAAAACTATTGAATAATTAATAAAACGTTCGTTAGAATACTTTGCAATCTTCATAGATTTTGTCCTTAACTTACTTCGATTACTCCTACATAAACTATTGAATAATTAATAAAACATTCGTTAGAATACTTTACAATCTTCTCCTTAACACTTGTACAAACTATTGAATAATTAATAAAACGTTCGTTAGAATATTTTGTAAGCTTCATAGATCTTGTCCTTAACACTTGTACAAACTATTGGATAATTGATAAAATGTTTGTTAGAATATTTTGTAAGCTTCATAGATCTTGTCCTTAAAACTTACTTATACAAACTATTGAATATTCGATAAAACGTTCGTTAGAATACTTTGTTCATAGATCTTGTCCTTAATGCTTGTGCAAACTATTGAATAATTGATAAAACGTTCGTTAGAATATTTTGAAAGCTTATAAATCTTGTCTTAGCACTTACTTCGATCACTCTTATACAAACTGGATCTTATCATCCTCAACAAACGATGATTCGTTGTCGTCGTTGCTACTAATTATAATATTATTAATATTAATATTATTGATTGATGGATCTTCGTATCTTACAAATGTAACCAATCAA